AATGCAGTGGCACGATTGAATGCAGTGGACTGCAGTGTCACTAGCAATTCCTGAACCAAACACGGCTGTGGCGGAAGGACTACGAAGCGTCTGGCTATTCAAAATGTGGCCCGGGAATGTAGTTCTGGGAACTCGAAGACCAGGAAGTGGCCTACAGTTGGCTCCGGGCATCCAAAATGTGGCCCGGGAATGGAGTTCTGGGAACTCGAAGAGCACGAAGTGTGTGACTGTTGCATCCGGCCCTCCAGAATGTGGCCCGGGAATGGCGTTCTGGGATGTCGAAGAGCACGAAGTGTGTGACTGTTGCATCTGGTTATTCTAAATGTGGCCCGGGAATGGCGTTCTGGGATCTCGAAGAACACGAAGTGTGTGACTGTTGCATCCGGGTATTCAGAATGTGGCCTGGGAATGGAGTTCTGGGAAGTCGAAGAGCACGAAGTGTGTGACTGTTGGTGAAAAACGAGCCCGGCACCCTGCCGCCCGGCAACTCCCCAACACCTGCCCGGACCCCCCTGTGGAGTGATCTGTGAGCTCTTTTGAGACCACTAGAAACCTATCAGTCTTCGCTGTTAGGTAAAAATGTGACGAACCGAACCGAACCGGAAGGATTAACGAACCGACCAAGAAACACTTCGGATCCGAACCAGACCGAACCGAACCGTAGGAGTATACTACTACGGCTCGGTTTGGCGATGGCTGGTGTCTCGAAAAGCACACAGAGACTGCACCAGATAGTTTGCACCAAATAGAATGCACAAATAGCTTGCAACGCAACCCCAACCATTGCTTGCACTCAGGTGCGCTGAACTTTCTTTGAATAGATAATTCTGGGTGTTCGCCCCGTTGCCGCCCGTGCCGTCTCGTGGGCGTTCGTGGGCGATCCGTTCGCTGGGGAGGGTGCTAAGGCTGCGGCACGTTGCCGCCCGTGCCGCCTCGTGGACGCTCGTGGGTGCCCCGTGCGCTGGGGAGCATTGCTGAGGTTGCGCCTCGTTGCCGCTCGTGCCGCCTTCGTGGCGCTCCGTGCGCTGAACTTGCACCACATAGCTTACACCACACAGCTGAAACGACCTAGTTTACACCATATAGCTCACACCGCATAGCTTCCACGACATAGCTTACACTACAAGCTTAGAGCGCATACGTTCCCACCATCTAGCTTACACGACATAGCTCACACGACATAGCATACACCACAGAGCTGTCACCTCCACAACTCGCACCAAATAGCTTGTACGGCTTTGTTTGCACAATATGCCTGGCAATTACAAATGCAAGTATTCACTGTCCAGGACCCACGCTGGCTAACATCTGTTCAAATAGGGAACCAAGCTCAAACCCCATGCCGAGGCCAAGCGTAACGCGTCCCATCCGTGTGCTATGCTTGGCAATGATTCATCACGGCCGTTCAGTTTGAAAACGAAGTCGTATCGTCCCAGCTGAGCCCGTGGTGACGTCCCCCCTTTGTATGTAAAGGAAGACATGCAATGCACGCGCTTTGGTCCAACAATCGCGTGCAGCACTAATCGATGTCAAAGAACATCGTGCGGGCCACACGCGTCCCCGCACGCACAAGCCGAAATCATCTGACACATGTCTGCAAAAACAAATGAGTCCCTACGCAGTCTCAAACGATAGCCAGCGTGGAGCCACAGCAGTAAGTTATTTCACGGTGGATGTGCGAGCTCTGTGGTGTAAGCTATGTGGTTCAAGCGATGTGGTGCAAGCTATATGCTGCAAGCTATGTGGTGCGAGCTATGTGGTGCAAGCCATGTGGTGCGAGCCATGTCGCACAAGCTATGCTGTGCAGGCTACGTGGTGACGGGGCAAGGGAGCGGAAACGACCGACAACGGACGTCCGCGTGGCGAGTCCTCGGCGGACCCTACAAGTGAGCGGCAACGAGGCGGCAACGGACGTCAGCATGGCGAATCCTCGACGGACCTACCAAGTGGGCGGCAACGAGGCGGCCACGAGGCGGCCACGAGGCGGCCAAGGGCGGCAACGCGGCGAAGCCTCGGCGGAGCCCACACGTGAGCGGCCACGGGGCGGCCACGAGGCGGCGACGCGGCGAAACCTGGGCGGACCACCCACAAGTGGGCGCCGAAGAAGCCCACAGGAGGCCCCTAAGAAGCCCCCAAGAGGCCACCGAGAGGCCCCAAGAGACCCCCAAGAGGCCCCAAGAGACCTCCCAAGAGGGCCCACAGAGGCAGGAATTCGTGATTTTCCAATAGTTTCTAAGGGTTTTTTTGGCGTTCTCGCCTTTTCGGCTTACCGGCGCTTCAAGACGGCCGAAGAGGCTTCCAGGATCGCCTCAGCAAGGCCCAAGAAACCTCCAAGAGCGCCCAGAACGGCCCCTAAAGGCCCCAAGATAGCCTCAGAGGCTTGCAAGATGGCCGAAGAGGCTCCCAAGACGGCTCCACGAGCGGGCCCAGACGAGGGACCCGAACGAACATGTCGAGCTCTAGGCGCAGAGAGGTCCCCTGGAGGCCCCAAGAAGCCCCCAAGAAGCCCCCAAGAGGCCCCCGAGCGGCCCCAAGAGACCCCCAAGAGGCCCCAGGAGGCGGCAGAAATACCGCCAAGAGGCCCCCAAAGAGGCCCCCAAACGGCCTCCAGGAGACCACGAACATAAGAGGGTGCCCATAGGTTAATGGCTACTCCTGTTAGATAAGACCATGCGCCCACCCCCAGTGATCGCAGTTCGAGGTCGCAAAACAAACATAGCGCACAGCATGCAACCATAGATTTATCCCGTCAGCTCAATCGAAAAACATCACACGGGCCACACACGCGCGCCCACGCTCGAACACGTCGAAACCATTCAAGAACACACATGGTTCTGAAACAGCTAAGAAGAGAGCTAGTCAACAACATGTGCTGGCAAGCCCCGACCCCAAACAGTAATGTGTTGCACTGTGGGAGTTGAAGTCACGCGGTGTAAGATATGCCGTATGAAATAGGTTGTGCAAGCTACGTTGTGAAAGCTATGTTGTGTCTGGTACGTGGGGTGAGCTAGGTGGTATTAGCGATGTAGTGTGAGCTGCACGGTGTAAACTGCAAGTGCAGTATGTGATAGACACTATGTGGTGTAAGCCATAAGGCGTGAGCTATGTGGTGTAAGCTATGCTTCGTAACATGCGGTTAGTTATGCTGAGTAAGCTACGTTGGCATGTTCGCCCAGAGCCCGCACATCGATTTCACCACGCGGTCCACCCGCGTTGATCCAGCATGCGCCCAGCGCACGAATCCCCATCAAATCATATCATGCGGGCCACCTGCGCGCGTCCGCCGCGCGCGCATGGCCTTTTCAAGAACAAAGGTGCGAGGGTTTTGGGGCTTCCGCGCGCGCACTTCCTTACCATAACACTCACCAGCGCCGCCGCACAACGTCATCGTCACTAACAGTCGCCGTCGTTGCCGCCATCATCACTCAAGCATACTCGTCATCGACATCAACGGACACCAGCATCGCCATTGGTATCACACGCATCGGCGCCATCATTGGCATTACCGTCGTCATGGTCATCATCGCCACCACCTTCACCACTATCAACATCGTTGCCGCCGTGGCCGACGTCATCATGATACCGTGACCGCGCTCGAACCAGAGACCCGAGAAGTGCCCTCGCGCCAGCGCGGCCTTTCACACGCGCTGAGAAGTTCCCATCGCTATGTGCCATCGCGGCCGCATCGGCTGCGCCAAACCAGCTGGCCGCCCGGCCCGCGAGCTTGGGCGCGCCAGCGCGGCCGCAGAGATGCGCTAGCCATGGCCAAGCAGTCATCCCTATCGCCGCCTCATGGGTCGACATCTCCGTCGTCATCGTCATCGGTGCCTGGTGAGGTGTTGCCCGCCAAGTTACGGGGGGGGCGGCTGCGACGTTTGAACGAGCATGGGAGGTGGTCACGCGCGGTACAGTGTAGTCACTTGAACCCCATAGCTTGCACCACCTATGTTGCATCAAATAGATTGCACGAAATAGCTGGTATGGAACCACACAAGGTACATCGTTTGTAGTGTATTATATTGAACACAGCACGCCGGTTTCACCTTGCACATACTGCACCAAGAAGATTGCACATCGAAAGAGCAAGAGCCCGCTAGGCTAGCCCTCTCGAGCCTTCTCGGGATGTGCCGCCTGAGGCTGCCGGAGGCCAAAACTGTCAACAATGTTGATTAATACACTTCGTTTACTAGGGTGGTACGCCCTGCCAGGTGCCTGGAACCTCTCCCGCCCAAAACGACCCCAAGAGCCTGCACAGACACACCAGAGGCCCCCAGAGACCCCCAGAGCCCCACCCCCGAGACCCTCTGGAGACTCCCAAGGCTCGGCGGTGGAATTGGCCGCATGCACGTAGATACTATGCGGATACAAGATACATCTCTTAGGAAGACTGAGCGAATGCCACATGAAGATTGAATACGATTTGGACACTGCGTGAAAGCTGCACGAAGCCGTTACCGTAGTTTGAGCAATAAGAGGAGTACCCAAAGGCTCATGTAGAGTTGAATGATAGAGAAAGTGTATGTTTCGAAAGACCCAGAGTCACGATGTGCCGCCGTTTCTGGGCGCTCCTACTATCATCATACTACATCGCCAATGCGCATTGTACGAGCACCGCCACACCAACGCTACGTGTTGGACTACATGTTACATGATGTCTCCAGCGTTTTCGAAGGCGAAACTTGAACCTACATGTAATTACTCAAACCACTAGCATCGTAATACTTCCAACGAAGTGTGGTGCAGAACTACTGCGCGAATGCCATTCCAGAAGACATGCATCCACAGACTCCCCGTCGCTTCCCGAGGCCCACTGGGCGCCTTCTGGGGCCAATGGGGGCCTCGCGGGTACTGCTGGGAGCCTCCTGAGGGGCGCCTCCTGAGGGGGGCCTCTCCTCTGGGGGGCAGAGCAGCCCCCGGAGGAGGAGGAGGAGGAGGAGGAGGAGGAGGAGGAGGGGGAGGAGGAGGAGGAGAAAGAGGAGGAGGAGGAGGAGGAGAGGAGGAGGAGGAGGAGGAGGAGTAGGAGGAGGAGGAGGAGGAGGAGGAGGAGGAGCAGAAGCAGAGTGGTGAAAAGCGATCGGCTGTAGCCCTCGGTCGGCCAGCTGCGCTGCTGTGAGACGGCGGCAAGAGTGCGGGGCCCACCGCGCAGGACCGCCCAGGCCCGCGCGCCGTCAGGCCGCGGGCCCCAGCGCGGCGCGCTGGGAGTCCACGAGGTGCTCCAGCAGGTCGACGTCGGCGGAGATGCCCATGCGTGAGGCCAGCTTGAGGAAGACCTCTCGGCGGCGGCGCGCCGACGAGTGCGGGGTGAGTGGCGGGCAGGCCTCTTCGGAGGGCATTCTGGGGGGGCTTCTCGGAAGGGACCACCCCCACTCGCGCAACCATGCCCGCCGCGCCTCCTGAGTGCCCGGGGGGGGGGAGGCCTTCTCAGGAGGGTCCGGCGGGGAGCTGCGGCCCTGCCCGCCTCTGCGCGCAGGGCCCAACGATACGATGAATCCCAGGTGCGGCGCAGCACAAGCCATATGGAAGGACACGAGGTCCCCAACCGCCCTGGGGCAGGCGACCCCCACGGCGGGTGGGTTCGCTTCGCGATGTGCCCCGTCCGCCGAACCTCCTTGGTCATGTCCCCGGTGAAGGCCTCAGCGCCTGCCAGGAAGAGCTCCTCGCTGTCCGCCTGCGAGACCTGCGGCGTCATGGCGGCGATGAGCGCGGAGAACTCGGCGAACTGCAGCCAGCCGTCGCCGGAGGAGTCGTAGAGCTGGAAGAGCTCTCCCATCAGCTCCATCTCGTGCGCCCGCTCCTGGGCGAGCGACCACGCCGCGGCCCACATCAGCACGCCCTCTGGGCAGCGCAAGACCCCGCCCTTACGCCACGCCCCGGCCAGGCGCTCCAGGTTCGCACCGGTGACCTGCACCCCCGCCCGCATGGAGCCCGGGCCGCTGGGGGCGCCGCCTCCGAGCGCCACAGCGGACAGGGCGCTGGCGACGAGCTCCGGCTGCACCTGCAGGTCCGCGTGCCTCACGACCAGCTCTGCGGCCAGGGAGGCCTCCAGGCTCGAGAGCCCGGTCGTCACGTTCAGCGACGCGCGCACCAGGCCCTCCGTGGGCGCGGCCTGTGGGGCGTCCTCCAGCACGCGAGCCCAGAGCTGGCCGATGATGTCTTCCTCGTCCTCGGCCTCGGGCTCGCCGGCGCCGCCCGCCTGCTCGCGCACGTACGCAGCCAGGAGGTAGGACACGTAGAGTACCTCCCGCCCCGAGGCCTCCCCGCCGCCCTCGAGGCCCAGGCCGCTGCCCTCGGGCTCCTCGCCGGCGCCCTCCGCGGCCGTTGAGGTCCCGTCGCCGGGGAACTCGATCAGTGCGAAGAACGAGGCCCAGAAGAACCTGGAGGTCGCCTTGCAACGCGCGGCGATCGTGCTGAGGGCCGCGACGACGGCCGAGTGCATCGACACTCCCGCGCCGCCCGCTGCGTCGCTCTGCTCGCGCCGGACCATGCCCAGCTCCCGCGCCACGGCGGCGAGGCAGAAGGCCGCGTCCAGAGGCAGGTCGTTCAGCGCACGTGTGTCGAGGCTGAAGCTCGACAGCCACCGGACGATATTCCGCTGCTGGGGCACAGCATCCCCCATCGAGGCCGCCGGCTTGATGCCCGCAAGGGCCGCGAATAGCGCCACCTCGTAGTTCTCGGGCATGTGCTCAAGCACCGAGCGGCACAGCCGCACCGCAGAAGATTCGACGTGCTTCGAGCGCCCCCACTTCAAGAGGTAGAAGCGCTTGATGCAGCCCTGGAACAGCTGATCGGACGACGTCTTGACGAACCTCACGGGCGCCGCATCCTCGAAAGTGGACAGCGACTCCCAGATACTCTGGAGCTCTGACTGCAGCGTATCCAAATCCATCACCTCCTCGGCCGCGCCATCGGGCTTCCCCTTTGCAGGCGCCGCCACCGTGCCCTTGTTGACGCGACGGCCCTTCGCCTTGTGTGGCGCACTCTGCTCCTGCGCCGCGCGGATGACGCGCCTCCAGAAGAGGCCGTCGCTCGCGCCAGTGACGCTGGAGTCCCTGTCCTGCACGGGCATGATCCCGTTCAAGTCCTGCTCCTGGGGGGACGACGAGATACCGACACCGCAACTCCCTGGACCTCTCTCGGGGCACGTCCTGACCAGCATGTCGAGGAACATCCAGCCGTGGCGGCGAGGGCACTCCAGAACGAGCAGCAACGTCGGTATCCTTTCCTCCTCCGAGCTCCAGCTGCCGGATCCGCTCCCGCAGGCCGACCGTCTCCACCATCTCCGTCACGGCCGTCCAGAGCCCCCCGGGGTCGAGGCCGTCTGCCAGGCGTCCAGCGTGCTGGCTGCCCTGCTCGCGGAGGAGGCCCACGACCCACGCGTCAAAGCCCTGCCGTCCCGCCTTCTGCAACATGGCGATCTCGTCCTCCAACTGGACCACGCAGGCCTTCTGCCACAGGCGCTCCACCTTCACCTTCTGGCTTGCGAGGCCGCCCAGCTTCGACACGCTGGACACATGGCGCAGGGCCTCGGGGGGGAGCTTGCTCTGCGCCTGAAGGGCTTTGAGCTGGGCCTCCACGGCGAACTCGTCAGCCCACCTGGTAGGGTCTGCCGCCGTCAGCAGGTACGTGTTGGTGACAGAATTCCACTCGTAGCTGCCCAGCGCCCGGAACAGGCGGCCGCAGTTGGCCACGAGGTCGTCGTACGTGAACCTTGACATCTCGTCTGGCAGCGGAGCAGACTCCTGGAAGAAGAAATCGTTGTCAGTCTGCGCAGCCCGCCCAACGGAGAAAGACAGACCCACCCTCTCGCCCGAGCGCTCGGCGGCCGCGCCGCCCTTCGAGCCAGTGGCTTCGGCCTTCGAGCCGACGCTCTTCGAGCCGACGCTCTTCGAGCCGCGCATCGGCTGGTCGCCCCTCGATCTGGCCGGCGGCAAAGTGGCGCTCTTGGACACGGGCCCCGATGCGTCCGGCGGACCCTCCGCCGCCTCCTTCGAGCTGGGCTTCGATGCCGCCGGGGCCGCCGCGGCGTCCACGACGACGAGCGGCGGCTCCGGCGCTCCCGCCGCGGCGCCCGCGCCGGCGGCCGCCGCAAGGTCCCCGCTCTGCTGCTTGGCGAGGGCCTCCCGCAGGGCCTTGTTGTCCAGCTGCAGCTTGGCGATCGTCGCCTTCATCTCCTTCATCCGGTCCTGCTGGGCCTTGGCGGTGGCGGCGCTCTCGCTGAGGGCGGCCTGGTGCTGCTCGTTCTCCCGCAGCAGCTGCGAGTACTCCTCCTCCTGGCGCGCCAGCGTGGCCTTCAGCAGGACGGCGCGCTGCTCGGCTCCTCCAGCCTGGCCGCCCGTCCCGGCGTGCCGCGACGCGATGTGGGCCAGCAGCTGCCGCTGCTTCTCGGCCTCCTCCCACAACCGGTGCAGCCGCTCCACCTCGCGGCGGCCCTGCACCACGAGGCGCTCGGCCTGCCGCACGCAGACGAGCGCGACGCGGTCGAAGACGTGCGACATTGACGGCACGAGGCCCTGCGAGAGCTGGGCGAGCTGCTCCATGGTCTCCACGAAGCGGCCCAGTGACCGCCTGGTGTCGTCCACCGTCGCCTCCCACGTCCGCGACTGCCGCGTCTCGCCATCCACCAAGTCCTCCATGCGCCCAAGCACCTCCGCGGTCCCGGCATCCGCTTCCGTCTGGGAGACGAGGCCCCGCAGCACGTCGTTCAGGGCCCACATCGTCCGCTGGGTCTCTGTCTCCTTGCCGTCCAGGATTCTCGCCACCCGCGCTAGCGCCCCCCGCTCCGGGTCCATGAGACCAGCCATGCGCCCGGCGAGCTTGCTGGCCTTGAAGTCCGCGTCGTTGAGATCGTACGCCACCTGCCTCACCTCCCCAGGCCGCAGGTCGATGCGCAGCATGTGGAGGTCGTTCTTCTGCATGGGCTCGCTCTGGAAGACCTCTTTCTCTGGGCTGACCGGGTCCCTCACGAGCAGCGGCACCCGCGAGGCGACCTGGATGCTCAGGAAGGGCACGTGGCTGCCGCACGTCCGGGAATCGCTCGACCGCCGCTCCAAGTCGAGGGTGAGGATGCTGCCCAGCTCCGCGAGATCAAGGGCCTGATCCTCGTGGCTGAAGCACACCCCGCTCGTGTTGTTCACGAGGCCCTCTTGGGGGCGGCGGAACTTCTCCAGCCAGTCGTTCTCGCGGCCGCCTGTCACCAGGTCCCTGAACACCGTGCAGCTCGCCGCCGCAGCGTACTGCGGGTCGGAATCCGAGGGTGGGAACGCACCACCCCTCTGCATGAACACTGCCGTCTTAGCCTCCTCGACCTCGCGCTCAGCCAGCTGAGCCTGGTACTTTGTGAAGTGCTGGCCCTCAACCCCCGCTGCGGCGGCCGCCCTCTGCGCCCCGCCTTCGGCGGTCTCGAGAGGCGCGTACAGGATCGAAGGAAGCAGGTTGGCACGCAGCTCTCTGCGCCATTGGTGCGAGAAGCCGTCCTTGTTGCTCTGGAAGACCCTCGGGGTTCGCCGCAGACGCCGCCTCGAGGCGTCCTCCTCGCCCGCCTGCAGGCTCATTGCCTCGACCGCCGTGGGCCGCCTCGTGTGCTCTGGACCGCCGCGAGCCCCCAGCGTGGAATCCAGGGGAGATCCACGGCTGCGGTAGTGGGTCCTGTCCGTGAGGGACATGGCCTGCCTCTGGCGGCCCAGCTCCGTGAGGCGCGCGGTGTCGAACGCCGGCAGCGTCGGCGGCCCCGACATGGCCGCCGAGGAGGCGCCGCGCGGGCGCCCTGGCGGCAGCATGGCCGCCGCGGAGTTGGCGCGGGGAGCCAGCCGCCTCCTGTGCCAGAGGTCGGTGATGACGACAAGGAAAGGAAGGAGGAGGAGCAGCAGCAAAATAGACACACGATGCCTAAATGATGCTGCAAGACACCCGCTCCATCCAAGGACCGCACCCCAAGAAATCCACACAAGCCTTACTTCCGCGTCCTGCGTTAAGATGGAAAAGCCTTTTTTTCATCCTTTTCGCGAACAGCCAGGGATGCGAAACGGTGTGATCATAGAGTTCGACGAAAGGTTCAGTGAGATCGCCAGTTTGAACCAAGACCGCCCCGTCTGTTTTTTTGTTGTTTCTCAGGCCCCTAAGAGACCTCTGGTACACCAGGTGCGCTTGAGGCCTCGGACGGCGGTTGGCGAACATCCTCCCGTGGCAACAGTCCAACTGGTCGCGACGGCGGAGCAATAACAACTCGGCAGTCGAGCGGGCGAAACAAGGCCAGAGGAGAGGAAGAGGACAACAAAGAGGGAAGGATGAAAACTGCACAAACGGAACTGAGCGCTGGTTATCGCCACTGCTTAGGAGAACGGCCTCAAGCAAGAATCGTGCGAGTGCGGAGCGATACGACCTACCCCAGAATAGTGCCGGTAAGACCGGGTGGAGAAGAGGAGGAGGAGGAGGACGAGGAGGAGGAGGAGGATGAATAGGAGGATGAGGTGGAAAAGGAGGAGGAGGGGCGAGAGAGACCAGCCATTAGCCGGGAGCAGTGTTCAAGCCAACCTGCAATAGGCGAGCCATCGCGCGCACCCTGGGACTGGAACAATGGGCAGCGGGGCTGGCTTATAAACCGCAGAAGTCGTCGCCCGACTGTTCGGCAGTCTGGGCGCTCACATGTCCGCTGCAGTGCAAGCGAAGAGACAGAAAACAAAGAGAAAGGCAGGCAGCAGCGGACAACAATGGTACAAAAATACCCCGGGTTCGTATCATAGCGAGACGGGCTGGGCTACCCGAGATACCAAATACAGCTAGTAATGTGAAGCGAGCGGCGCTGCGAAATACGACCGCGCAGAGAAGAGGCGGAGACCCCTGGCAGCAAGCCCGAAAACAGGGGAGGGAGAAATTCCCTACGAAACGCAAGTTTTGTACGGAATTTCCCCCTTCCATGTCTTGGCCCCCGCCCGCGGGGGGGAGGAAGGAGAAACAAGAGACAGACGAAAAAAACAGGGTAAAAACTACTGGACTTCCTCACGAGGCCGTTTGAAAGTGATCCTGACGAGATGCTGTGCGCGTGGGTGTCCAGAGACCGCATCTCGGACGCACCCGCGGAACGCGTCGGCCTCATCAGCGGCCCGGAGGCCGTGTCGGACGGCGTTGTGCGTTTTATATGATGCGAATACCCCGATCGCCCGGAACGCAGCCGCCGTGGCCCTGGTGTTGACGTCCCTGCAGTGCGTGGGTAGAGAGTGCTCGTGGGGGCGAATGCCCACGAAATCGCTGAGACACTCCTCCGCTGGCGGCCGGCTGAGTCCGAGACACTGGCGGCCAAAGGTATGACATGTAGGAGAAAGAGCGCACATAATGCTGTATACTGTCTTCCCCACGCGGGCAGAAGAAGAGGCAGCCCCCTGCCCTGCCGAAGCGGCGGGCGGTGGTCCAACTGTTCCAAGCAGAGCGGATTTGACGCGCTTGGACACGGGGGGGGGGACGAGGGGGGAGGCGAGGGCAAGAGCGTTGAGCCACCTCGCCGGGCGGCGGCCAGGCAAAACGTTGAGCTGCAATTTGTCCCATCGTTTCCTACTGCGCCGCGCCGCAGAGGGAGGGGGAACAGCGTAAAAAAACACGAGCCGCCTGCGCTTGCCACCCGCTCCGTTCCTGTGCAGCGGGGCTTGCAGGGTCGAGGAGAGAAAGCACCGCGCGCACTTGCCGCTCGGCTGCTGTCAGCTCAGTGGTGGCGTCGCGGAGCGAGAACAGAAAGTGCTGGTGGATGTACTGCTAGAAATGCCCCACCCGGGTCTGCTTCCTGGCGTCGCGGCTCAGCCGGTGGAGCTGGCGAGCCCGCGCTTGTATCCGGAGACCGCCGTGCGCGGCGTTCTCGAACCTGGCGACCCTGGCCATCGCCGCGCGGGCGGCGGAACGGACGTCGGGGAAACCTTTCGGGAACCTCATCGATTTCAGATCTTTCAAAGCATCCACGGAGAACCAATCCTGAGGGCCGCGGAACAGCGCACGGCACGCTTGCAGCTCGATCGCGTCAACGGAGCACGGCAGCGGGTCGAGCAGCGCGACGAACATGACGACTGAGCTCACGAAAACCTAGTAGGCCACGAAGGTGTCAAGAAGGACAAAGCCCAGTTGCCCCTTGAGCATGGCCCTGTCGGCGAATTTCTTGAAGGGGGCATCCCATGAGCTAGTGCCGCGGTCGGGGCCAACGACCATGCAGAGGTACTTTGGCAGTGTCCTGGATCGGGAGGGCCCCCCATAACGGGGCTTCGCGGATGAGCTGGTGACGCACTTCATCGCACTCGTAGCTAAAGAGTGGCACGAGGACGGTCTTGTTGACACTAATCCGCAGGCCAGAGATACGCTCACACTCGAGGAACATGTCCTGAACGGCGCCGAAGTGCTGGAAGATAGCAGGGTGCACCAGGGCTGCGCCGTCGGCGCGAGCGCGCACTCGACTCCCTGGGTAAGGCCACCCAGGCGCTGAAGTAAGATGTCCGACACCGTCGCGAACAGCAGCGGGGACAGGGGGCAACCTTGGCGGATGCGCCGTGCAGGGTCGAAGTCAGCGCGTCGCGAGCCGCCCGGAGCGATGGAGCACGAATTTCGGTAGCACAGGCAGACGATATAGTTGACCAGCCGCGCTGGCCAGCGGAGCTTGCGGAACACTGCGAACAACATGTCGCGCTCTACGGATCGGAACGCGGCGGCGAAGTCGAAGAACAGCGCCCCGCCCTCGCGAGATGTGCACGTGCCCATCGCCATGGTCTCCTCGATGTCAACCAGATTGGCTAGCACGCTACGCCAAGCGATGAAGCCCCTTCTGGGTGTCGACAATCTTCGAGCCGAAGACGGGTCCCACGAAATGTCGATCAGCGCTCGCTAGAAGACGATTGTCGGTGTTGGTCACGTTCAGCGGCCTCGTGTTCTCTGCTGTGAAGTAGCCCTCACCTGTGGCCATGGTGCCTGAAGCTTTCTGGGGCAACAGGAACAGCAGGCTCGCATTGAAATCTGGCCACTCCTCGTCGATGGCCGCGCAGCCAGAGTCGTCCATCAACGCGCGCACTGCGTCGAAGAGAACCGCAGTGGAGAGCTTGATGCAACGTCTCCAAGCGAGGAAACTGATGCCATCGGGGCCTGGGAGGGAATTGCTGGAACGTTGGATGGCGCGCCAGATGTGGCGCCTGCAGAGGCGGACAAGCGCAGGGGCCGCATCGACAGTGTCCCCGTCGCCCCTGTTGCCAGCGCCCTCGTTGAGCCACTCCTCGAGGAGTGTGTGGTCGATGCCCTTCGCGCGGAAAACGCCCATCCAGTGCCTCCTGAGTCCGCGGCCATCTCGGCGGCGCTTGTCAGGATCTGGCCATTTCTGACCGGTACAACCGACATGCAACCAACTCTACCAGGAGCGAGCCTGAAGATCAGGCGCAGGCTCTTCTGCCTCGCCTGAGAGGCCTGGCAGCATTGCCACTGACGAGGTCTGCGTGCGATTGGTTGAGCTCTTCAAGGGCGTGCTCTCTGGCCAACTCGGTCGCGTGGGCCCTGACGGGCCGAAGGCGGCTTGTGAGATTGCCCCAAATGCCGTAAAGGTTGTCCATCAGCTCGGCCAGGTGAGGGTAACGCTCGATGCAAGCAGAAATGCCTCCCATCATGCCGTTTCCGACGTTCCGCATGAACTTTATCGTAACGCCAAGCCGGTCTTCAAGGTCCACGGCAGCAGGAGGCCTGCCCATCGCGGCGTCTAGCCGACGGGCCACTTCTTTGATGGAGCCTTTGATCAGCTGTAGTCGGCGGATCGGCGACGCCAGCGGTTTCTCCTGGAACTTGCGGTGATAGTCCAAAGCCAGCAGGCGGGGAAAATCGTCGCGCTGCAGGGCGCGTTCGGACACTGGCCGCTCGTGCTCGCGGTTCCTGTCGGGCGTACTGCGAGATGCGTAAGCCGCCCTGTGCGCCGACAAATCAGGGCACCATTCCATCGCAGAGGCACGGAGGCATCGGTCCAGCTGCTCCGAGGCGTGGAAGTTCATGTAGAGCCGGTCCACCCGCGCCCTTGAAAAAGTTGGTGAAACCCGTGCACGCGAGCAACAACTGTTCGGAAGTGGCTCTCCTCCCCCTGGTCCCGCCTGCCCGTGTTGGAGCGCGTTGCTTAGTTCGTTCGGGGGGTCTGAGAAGAAAAAAAAAAAAAGGCGTTCAGAGGGTCAGTGGGTGGTCGTTCGCGCTGCAGTGCTCTCTGCGATGGCAGGGGTGGCCAGGCCATGGGCGGCCACTGCGAAACGCGTCGCGAGCAACGAAGCCGACGATGGGGTGATTGTACTTCGTGGGTAGGGAGTTGACAGTGAAAGAGGAGGATGGGGAGGGTGGGGGGAGGGGGAGGATGCGGAGCGCGAAGAGCGCAAAAAGGAGAAACGACGGAGGGCACACAACATTGCCTTGGGTCCCGTGCTCGGTCTCATTCGTGATCTTCTGTGCTTCTCTCTCTACCTGGTCTCAGTTGCAGCATGTTCATCCACCGCAGGGCTTTGTCTCCGAGGTCGCAGGCCCCCACGGCGTGGGGGTCTGCGACGCGATGGCGGTCCTGGCGCAGGGCGAAGCCACATAGCTGAAGCCCCCGCCGAGGATGGTCAGCGCCCTCGCACTCGATGAAATCCTTCCAGCCAGGCGGTTCCGCACACGCGCCCGGAGGGCTGGGAACGACCTCGGCGCGGCGTGCATCGACGGGTCCACGCCGAAGAGATCCTGTTCGGTAACGCTCGCCCCCGTGGGAAAATAAGATACGATGATGTCCAAGGTGCCATGGGGGCAGCTTAAGCTTGGCGGCCCCGCCGGGCCAGACAACCTCGAGCGGGGC